AGAGTGAGATAATAATAAGTAGTATATCAGCTCCCCCTCCTTCAAATCATTCCCAATTTCTTTTGCAATTAGCGTAAAGAATAAAACTGAGAAGATATTTCACGTCTTAGAAAATAGTTTTAAAATTTCTGTTTTGTAAAATAATTTATTTTCGTTTGAAAAAAACTTAATGTAGGATCACATCTGTCCCGTCCTCATTACCACAATTTGAATTTTGCTCCAAGGGCGTAAATAACTCACGATTTCTTAAATAACGGATATTATATTTGACCGCAATATATCGCATTTAATTTGAACATCTGCGTTTCGTTAAATGGTGCGGGTGCCTTTTGACACGACGCAATGAAGCTTATGTTTGGTAGCCATCTACATCAATTGTGCTAGCTGTTCACATCTCTTCGTGTTTATTGGAGACGATTCTTAAATGTGGTGAACAGTACGTTAAACAGCATTCTTTAATATAGTCCCTCTGAACAGAAGTGTGTACATGTATGAAATAAAAAAGGGAAAGCCACATAATTCCAATAATATTGTTAATCTTTATTTGTAAATGTTTTCAGCCATAGAAGCTCTTCATAATAACAGTTACAAAAACGACAGCCATTGTCACCTCAACAAGAGTAAAAATTCTGTTAACTGGTAACTGTACTAGTACATATGTAACTTATGTTTTTATAGTTACTGTGGGGCACTCACTTGACAGCGACTACGAAATTCAGAGGGTTAGATAAGAGAGGGTTAGACATCATTAAAACCAAACAGGCAAATTGGCAAGAAGAAGGGGTGTTAATACGCTTTCCTCGTAGAAAACGTTTCATGAAATGAAGAAAGTTGACTGCAACATTTAACTAGAAAAGTTCAAACCGTGTTTCTGAGTTTACCATCAGAAGACGTCCGCACAACCGCCGTTATTTTGACAGGGTTTCTGTTAAGAGACCAGTGATCACTGCCAGGAACCGTCTTCGTAGAGCCAGCTGGTATACCGGAACTTTGACATTGGCACCAGTCAAAAACTGGGCAGCGATACTGTTGTCAGATGAAAGCAGGTTATAGTAACTTATAGTAACTGGCTCGCGCTGCCAGTAATTACGCCGCGGGATATTCAGGCCACAGACCGTGATCATAAGACATACCGCAAATAGAAAATAGAATTTAGAAAATAGACATTGCATGTGAACGAAGCCTAAGGGTTGTCAGAATTTATAGACGCGTAAGGGTTTGGAGAACAGCTGGTAAGAAGTATCTTCCCAATTTTCTGCCTCTGGTCGACAGAACGCACCCCTCGTATGTCATAGCATGGGATGTATTGGCCACTTTGCTGTAGGCGAACTGCCAGTGCTCAACGAACCCATGCAATTAATACAGACCCACGCATCCAGGTTCTGGAACGGAACCTAAGGAGAGACCAGTTTCATTAGCTCTGTATGTATCAATTTAATTTATTGTTTTTCTTTTTATCAAGAGCTTATAAAATATGTGGGTATTACCTCCAATATTTCTGTGACTGTCAGTCATCATCATCAGGGAGTAAATGACTAGGGTCATTTCACCTGCATTAGGGGCAATTGGCCTGGATTTTCATTCCAGGTAAAATGACCCTAGTCATTTTCTCCCTGATGATGATGATGACTGACAGTCACAGAAATATTGGAGGTAATACTTACATATTTTATAAGCTCTTGATAAAAAGAAAAACAATAATTTAAAATGGAACTTAAGGAATTCTGCCGATGATATCTTTGGGGACATTGACCAACCATTTCTGTTTCAGCATGGTAATGCTACTCCACGCACAGCCAATGCAACAGTAGGCTGGTTATATACGAACCAGATCGACCCCCCCCCCTCCCCCCATGACCAGCTATATTAGAACCTCATTAATAATGTGTGGGGTATCCTCGGAAATGGATAACTGAGAGATAACAGAAATGATCTCATGCTAACTTTGCACCGTATGTGGAAAGTTACTACTTCACAAACATTACATAATTGTTTGGGTCCACGCAAAGACGTATCAGGTGCGTCCCCCAATCCTGAGGATATACTGTACAAAATACCCAAAAAACCAAAAAGTGGCTTTGATTTTTTACTGTGGTTAGCTTATTCGTTGTTTGTACAATATGTAAATTTTTGAGAAAATTCCTTTTCGAAGTTGAATAAAGAGCATTTGTTCATGACATGAATTTTTGTATCACTCTGCGCATTGCGTTAGGGTTGACACTTTTGGCTAGGGGAGTATACTTCCTACATTGTACAGGCTAACGAATTTTTTTTAATCGCCAAGAGTATGACAAAATTGTAAAGGCTACGATTTCATCCACCGCCCGTAGCACGGACGCCGCACGAGAACGTAAAGAGATAAACGGACATCGCATGGTAAATGTAATCTCGGCTTAACCATATGATGACATATGTTCCTAATCTCGTATCACAACAATTCTTTTTTTTGTTTGTTATGTTGGTTCTAACCATTGCTTTTCAAAGTAAACGTTTCAGGTTTGGAGTTTGACGGCGACTATTGATTATATGGGATCCTGTTATCAATTGTTCCAAAATCGGGAAGAAAAATTTTGATAAATTGAGTAATTGTGGCTCCGAGGCTTGGGTGTTATAAAAACGGAATTTTATCCTCTTTGTTTCAACGTTGCTCTTAGATTTCTTTAATTCGTATGCTTTTTACTTTTTGAATGTCTAAGAATGTATATGAATACTTTTGTCTTCTAAGATGACATTCTAATTCCAGAAGTATTTGCTTTTGTGTTTTTCTCAGTGACTACGTTGCAAATGGTTCTGGCCAAATTATAAGGTATATTCCTTTAAGTCTTTTAAAATATATGAGGGGTGGCACTATTCAAAGTCTCAATTATAACTGATGTGTATCTGTACTGTAGCTTTAGAATATACATCGGTGAATTTTCTCTTTGTTTGATGTCAATGAAAGAAAACACTGCTGTACAGTTTAAAATATTGAATCATCTAAATTATTAGCGTGGATTTTCCTTTTCTTTCTCGTTGGATGGCTTACCATTTTTTCCTGAAAAACTAGTACACAGTAGTCCTGTTACTTAAGCACAAAGGAAAATACGAACTGTTCAGTGCGAGAAACATACAAACTGTACATTTTCTCAAACTGTTTTTCAGACAGACAAAATTGATAAATCAATCAATGCTTAGCTCATAATAGTTTTCATGCCATATGGTTCCTTAATAACCATAAACTAACAATGCTTTTAATAGTTTTTCATACCACGTTTTTAATCTTTGGTATTTGAATTATATATACTAACAATACCTTTATAACAAAATTATCATGAGTTACCATCATTTCTATACTCCTTGAAAAGAAAATGTATGGTTTATGCTAGGTTCCCAAGGGTTTCCTGGAACATTCAGAGAAATGACTTTCAGTTTCCAGTTTAGATCATATCACCCTGAAGATCCATTGCAGCATCTACATATTTGTACATGTGGCTGGTAATCGGCTGTTCATTAAATGCGTGTGCTTTAATACAAGCATCTCAACAATATTTTAAAAACATTGGTATTTATGTCTAAAGGTCACAGTGCCCTTTTATTAGAGCTTCAACAAGTGATGGCGCATTACTTTTGCTGCAAAAGAAAATTGATTCAAAAAGGTGATCGCAAAACTAAATTTTCCTCTGCAAATCCAAACAGGCCTAGTTATTTTCAACCACTGCAAAAAATCATCCACCACGTGATTTAAGAATTGTTTGCTGAAATTTAACAACTACGCACAAACAATCCTGGTTTGTGATCAAACAATAGTACATCAACCCCATGGGAGTCTTTTCACTTTTGATTAATTTCACGTAATTTGAATGGCATCTCACTCGTCCATTAAGCACTTAAAACCCAAGAGGCATTTTACGTCTTTTTAAATGAAATATATCTTTGTAGAAAACAATTTTAATAATTACGTCATCCCCTTAATCTGGAAAATTACAATTAAGCATTTACCCTTCAGTATAGTACTTCGGTCGACAATTTTATGTTCTTCTTTGAAAAATAGCGATATATGGGCGTCTACCACGTTCCACATTTAGATTTCGAAAAATTGCATTGTGGAGACAGGAATGAAGTATTTGAGAGCGTTTACTACCACAGACCTGCAGGACTACTTTTATGTTTACCTTAAACTTTGTGCCAGTGTCAGTAAACCAACGCAGGAACTCCTAGAAACGATTAATAATCGAGCTTTAATGTTCAACACAAAAAGATCAACATGAAAGGGGACTTAAAATAAATGCAATCATCTAGCGTACTTCCAGCAGACATCAATACATTTTCCACGGCTAATTGGTGTGGATATGCAAAACCGATGATTTATGGAAAGCAAACTCGCTATTGATCTGTAAATGCTATACTGAAATGAAAGCCCAGACAATTTCCACTTACAGAAACAAGACCAATGACATTTTGCTGATCGTTTGGATGTTCACAAAGTTACGTGATTGAATTATGCTAAAGTAATAAAGCTCTCTATTCCTAGACAACCATTTAGCATAGATGGCATATCATGGTCAAGTCGTTCTCAGACAATCATTTAGAACATCCGACCTGGTCAAGTCACCCTTACTTTGAAAACATCTGCCGTAAATACATGCTTTTGAATTGCCTTTTTAACATGCTTGTGTGTGAATGCCAAAGCTATAATGAAAATATTACATTTGCAATGCCAAGATAACAATTTTTGTATCTATTTCATCAGATCATCATTGCAAAAATTACGAGAATACAGCACTGACATTTTTCTGGAGAAGCTAAAAGGCGTTTTATGTACGAAATTCGATGTGTTTGACGTATTGTTCCGTAGGGAAACCGCAACAACAAAGCCATGTAAGCTGGTCGTACCATAATAGGCAGTTGTAAAATCTTTTTCGCGAATTTAGCTACACCATATCAAAAAGCAACATGCGGCTCTTAGAACTGATACTAAGAACTCGTTTTTTGATGAATGCACATCTGAACATACAGAGACTGTGTATGTGAAGTATTCAGCGTTTTTTTCTTTTTCTTTTTTCACTGTCAGTGTACTCTAGCTTCTGTTTTACTATCTGATAGAATACGTAAGAGTTCAAACTACTCTTCCTTGATTTGCGCATAAACCTTCCCTATCTTAATACTTGGTACCACGTCTCTCGTAGATCTCTGGGTAGAGGTTAAATGGTCATCTCTTTTCATCCAGAGAGCAGGGTATGTTCCACATATTTTGGCCCGTGGGCCCAGCGACTTCACCTGCAGGTCACTTAGCACGGTTTCTGGATGGAGTACAACAGACGGAGTATCTTCTCTCTGAAATTGAAATTTGAAAACTTTCTCTTAATCTTTTCTGTCCTTTGTAACGTTCATAACAATTGCAATGGGTCCTCTTACTCAATTACACACAAATCGTAAAAACGCCAGTTACCTTTGTTTTTGGCATTTATGAAGGGAACATTTTGATGTGTATTGAACATTGCAAATTGTTTATGCTTACATTCGAACGTTCTGTGGCTTTGAAAAGGATGACCGTCTTGTCTAACACATCGTCATAGAAAGGAGTGATGAAGCACGTAGTAGCTGTGATGTCCTTGTAAATAGTAATATTCTGGAAATATAAAGCTCTTTTAAATGACAGTAGCTAGGTTTAGGCAGACGAGGCACTTGTCCCGTCTGGAGTTTTCTCATATTTATCATTCGAATAAAGCTGTAAGGGTCGTTTGCCTCGCCACTCGTCTACCAATATTACTACATTGCAAACCAGATCAGACAGTCAAATGACCCTCGGTTACTTTTGACATGACTTGTTTATGAAGTTAAAATTTATAATATTTGGGAGAGAGCAGGCCAAAAAATCAAAAGCGTTTTATATTTAATCAGCTGTTCACACACTTGGTGATTATATAGAGTCTACAGCTTGTTATCATTTGCATCACAATAAAACATTAACTTACCTTCGTAAAATCATGAACTATAATAGTTCTGTCACAAAGCGTCGTTTGTGGAGTGACCATCATTTTGTACGTGCCCTTTTCAAATATGGGAACAAGTATATTCCTGCCATTTAGTTCGATTCGCACGCCAGGGGCCTATAATTACAAGATATGTCATTATGAAATGCATTTTTTTCAGATTTTTATTATCATTACTATCATTTATTTATTCTACTATATTTCGCTGATAGAAACTTGGGGCATTGCAGTTTTAAAGTGAAAGATATTCTGTATATATAATACTACTAATGGAATAGATTTACCTATACACACGATTCAACTTACATAGAACGCCTTAACACACGCAAGCACGCAAACACTCAGCCAGCATATAATCTTCTGCATTTTGAGGTGTCTTACAGGCCGATCTGAAATATAAATCACCCATAAATCATTAAAGATGGTTAAATTGATAAGAGATGTTAGTTAAAAGAAAATCGACAATCACTTTTTACACAAATCTTTTTTCATTTATATAGAGAAGAAAAAAACAAAACAAAACAAAAAACATCCGTCTACTTCGTAATGTGATACCAATGGCTTATAAAATTACCATAGCGACCAGCCATAACAATTTATATAAACTACACGCAATTCAATCAGAAACACATCAAATCAGTGAACTTTCCTTTTCTACTTGCCTTCTTTAGCAGGATGCCATCCTCGGTAAGTTTCGGCTTATCGTTTGGCAGTGCAATTTAAGAAGCCGGTTTTAACGACCGTATATAGCCTTCCGATACGTCAATCATGAAATATCCTGTAGGGACAAATTTGTTGAAGTAATCGAAATCCCACTGTTGTCAGGAGAGGAAGTCATTCCTCAGATTTTTTATTTTGGCCCAATATACTTAATCTGGCAATTGACTTCCAAGATCGAACGAATTTAACAATAAATGATAACGACTCTGTTTTAATTAATGCCGACTTCCAACGCGCCTTGCTTGCTAACAACATGGAAACTTCATTACAACCAACAATAGAAACTGTCAGATCTTAAGAGAAGCGTGTCCATCTTGAGTTTGCACAAATTTGGATTCCATGCGGGAAGTCGTCTGATAAGATGATTAACAGCTCAGAACCTTACTTATGTCAGAAAATTGGGCGCCATCACAGAGGCACCGTTTCCGTGTAGAGCTATTATGTTTTAAAGTGGCTGAACTGTAGTAATACATATCAAGCGAAATGTTCTACATTTAAGGACGGTGACGCCGTTCTAAAATATGAAATAGCATACCCCTTTCATTCAGAATTATTTGATTTTGTGTGCACTGTTTATGTTTCTCTGTAATAAAACCTAAGAGCCTGTCTTATTCCAACCATGGGAAATATGAGTTTAGTGCTGAGTCACAAATCAATAGTCTTAGGTAACATGTACCATGACATAAAGAACAAAGAAACGTGTTTTATTATCATTTTGTGATTACCAATTATCCAGATCAATATTTTACGTAAGTAACAAATATTTATTTTTTGGGATTTCATGGACAAAAATGTATCTCCACCTCCCCCCCCCCCCCACCACCAAAAAAAGTTGTTTGTGTTTCAAAGATTTCCGTTCCGATTGCATTCCAACTTTTCAATGTGTTATATGTGAAAGCGGTATCTTGACTTTAATGATAACGGTCTTTTAAAAACAACAGTAGTTTGATATTCAAAATAAAGTGCTTGTCGTCTGTGATAGACTAACATGAATGATATTTTTGAGCTTGTCTTATTAACGCTATATGAACGCCTGTTTAAATACATAGGTTATTTAAGGCAAATGCACGTGTGTGTAAATCCAAATAAATGTTTGATTAATTTCGTGTCAGAAGTAGACAAGAAGATTTGACTAAACTGTATGATTAGTCTAAAGTTCTAAGAAGCAAATCACGCAAACACGCTTTTGGCAAAAACAAGTTTGACCACAACATCTCGTGCAATGATTTTTAAGTGAAATCATGATATGCGGATACAAAATTCGTCTTATGCAAACTGCAGGGAAAATGTTACATATTATCATAATTTTGAAGGACACGCACTGATCATCCAAAATTAAAATAATTTGTGACAATTTCGTTCACTTTACGCATCTTTATTGTACAAAACAATTGTTTATTTTCTAAATTGATATTCTATATTATATAGATATTATATATTATATCATATTAGATATTCTATATCTATTCTAGATATGTTTAAAGGAATGCATCTGAAAATATTCTACATGATATACCGTTCTTCAAGTGAGCATTTTACTGATTTTTATGACACTTGATACTGTAACCAAAATATTACTCCAGTCAATTTTACAGCAGCAGTATTTGATAAATCGGTTAACAGTCAATTCAGCGAATTCGTTGAAAAATAAAACCTCAATCAATGTGACATAATGCTGTCAAGACTCCGTTTGCTACTTATCTTGCGTTTGATCTAATATCGTAGAGTCAGTGATATTCCTTATGGAATCGGTATTCTTTACATTAACTTCCCAGGGGATATGAAGCTGCAACTGTCCAATTCTTGAATTCATTTTGTACAATTAACAATTAAATCTGATCGAAACATTGCTGGTTTTCCACCTGGAGACAAATAAGTATCAAATAAGCTTTAGGCAAAAAGTTATCTGAAGGTTTAACTGTGCATTTGGAGCCATAACGTGTACCCCAGTGAGATGAAGGTACATGTTAAATGAAGGAGATAAGTTAGAGGAAGCCTGAAGAAAAAAATTGCTCTCCTTTGGAGGGGGATGTAAGATTGGATAAAGCCTTCAGAACGTTCCCCTAATGTCTGACATACACATTAACACGAATACATATCCTTGACTGCAAAAAGCACACACATACATACTTACACCATTATATTTTTAGTAGTTAACAAATTTTTAAAGAAAATGTCTGTAAGACATCCGCCAGTGGTTACTTTTGCAAAACATATCCAAAACTAAGTTGCATAAAAGGTATAAATACGCATTTGGTACCTCCTACAACTAAACGTGCTTAATGAAGTTCTATTCATAGTTTCTGCTTACGTCAATGCTAACTCAGCTCAGCACGACTAAGATTCCACTAAAACATGACGACTGCCATTTTATTGTTATTATTCAAAGCGAACATTTCTTATCAGTAAAATCTATAGAAAGTGCCATTTAAATGTAATGGACAAGGGAAGGAGAGACTGTTCTTTATCGCGTAGGCCTCTATATACGTAGCTTCTATCGTCAGTTATGGAGGCAAATACTAAAGTGTGAGTCTACAATACAAAATGTTACAGCATTAATAAAATTATTTGAATGGACAAAGTTTGGAAACAACACACGTTCATTTTCATGTTCTTTGGACAATCTGATAAGCCCGTATGAAAGTGTTACACGCCAATGGCATTTTAAAAGCAAGAGGGCGGTTAGAAAGTACCCATTTTTTTTTATTTTTTATTTTATTTTTTTTATTTTGCTTAAAGCCGTTCCATTTTGGAGTGGCACTGCATTGTATGATCAGCGAGATTTTAGTTGTCTTAAGTCTTCACATAAGCTGTTTATAGTGAAGTTACGCCAAGCTAGGGAAATGAAGTAACCACAGCTGCCTGAAAACGGTGTTTTAAAAAAGCACCATGCAAAGAACATTTATTTGGCTTAAACCAAATGTAAAAAGGTACCTGGCTTATAAGCGTTTTAAGGTTATCTTGCCATTTGATCTCAATAAAGTATTGATTAGGCAGTGCTAGAGAGGTGATGATGACTGATGAACTAGAAAAAAAGGCATTGTCATGTTATTTTTATTTTCTTTCCTTTCTGTTTTATTTACCAAATTCCACCGTAGGACACTGTAAACTTAGATCATCTGTTTCAGTATATTGTTTGACCAAGTGGCTTACTGACCATAGCTTGAGCACACCCTCTTTATTTCTTATATTTGACACAGGGCTGTGACACAAATTTGCTTCAAACTAATATACCTCAGCATCTTTTCTAGAGGTTGAAAGCGTCATGTGGCATTTCGACATCTAGTCTCCTTTTCAGCACTTTTTAGATCACGACAAACCGTGACGTGCAATCATGACTGGGGATATTGGAAATGGAGTATGCGGTAAATCCCCTTTACACTGGTACGTATCCAGTGTATTCTGTCAATCCGCCGTCAGTGTAATAAAAAGCTGTAGTTAGAAGGATATTATGTCCGTTGATCAAGTAAACAATCGCGTCATACACTTGCTTCATATTCGCTATAGGTGATTCACCTGCACGAACGTGATTCAGTCAAAGGTGGTACGTTATTTCTTAAACATGACCAAACGTTATGAACTGTTAAATATTTTGACTTTTTATACATGTAAATAAAATGCATTCATAAGTGTTGTACCGTGTTGCATTTTATGTTTCTTACTAATTCTACTGATGCGTAAAAAGGGGTCGTCAAAGAAAATTTGAGCATTACTGTTCCCTTCAACGTGGAGTTCAGCATGAATTGCGATATTTGAGCAAAGCTGTTGAGATAATACGCATGAATGCGTTCAACACTAAAAAATATACGTTTACAGCAGAGACATGCTTAACATAGGAACCACAGAGTGCATTCCCAGAGATTTAGATCGATCCATCCGGATCGACCTAACTCCCTGGGGGTTCACGCTAAATTGCAGTCAGCCGAGCGGGCACGAAAGTTAATTACCCCCTTACAGCTTTTAGTAGGCGGGACAAACGCTTAAGTTGGCTAAGCTGACAGTAATCTAGTGAGACTCCCCACAGGGATAGATCGATCTAAAATCTATGGGAATAGGGTCATAGTCGGAATTAAAAAATTTAAATTCACAATCTCTGTCCACTTTTTCACACTTGAAACAATCTCCCTGGAGACAGAAGAGGCATAGCTAATGTTTGCGACTAATGCATACTTAAATTGGGCCACTATGGATTGGAGCTGAAGTAGATCTTATACTGGGTCTAAAAGTCTGTACCAATTTGGGGGTAATAAGCGTTTGGTACAACCGGACCAATGTACCTTGCGTTTTGGATCATGTCGCATTATTGCCTATTTAACAAGAACACTTATAAATATAACAAAACAGTGTTATTCTTCACTTATGGACTAAATGACGAGAGTCATATGCTCTACCTTTTAATCCACCACCTATTAGTATAGACCTTGATCACGTGATGAAGAAAAAAATCATCTTTTCTAGAGACCATGAACAACACTTTTTAAAGAACACCTATAAAATTTGGATAAAGAAATAGTAGACATGATTTGGATCGAATATTTGTGCGGCAGACATGGGAAAAACTTACTGAAAGTAGGGCTGACCTGCACTACAAGAAATCTGCAGGTCCTCCTTATTATGCGCTCGTCCGAACGAAGTATTTTATTTCCGTTAGTCTATGGCTACATTTGAATTAAAAATATGTATTGTATTTTCAATTAAACCTTGCCAGTCCAGAGGACCTGTGTTATCAAACATCTTGCAGGTCCTTGGGCATTTCAAGCTGCCATAACCTTTCGGACAGGCAGTCAAACTATTTATCAAATATCGTGGTAAACCGACTGTTTCGTCAAGAGTCGTGGCGAAATCTTTTGACATACAGATTATTTAATGAGTTTCATGTACCATGACACCTAAATTGTTTACCTGGTATGTTTAGCTATGAGGGTCGTTTCATTTGGTGTCTTGGTGAATGAAATGTTCCATCAGGAACGTCTTACAGTATGTCTAGCAATTTTTTCCATTAAGTATGACGTCCAAACTGTTTCGGGAAGGCAATGGAGTACAGTAGTATTAGCTACA